ACCAACTGAGTAAGTAGTTTGAGCATTAAAAGTGCCGCTGCCTCCGTTGAGAAGAACACTGATTGTGTTTGAACCATAGTTTGCAATAACAATATCAGGTTTATTGTCGCTATTCACATCGACGACTGCTACTGAATATGGTCCACTACCAACTGGGTAAGTAGTTTGATTAAGAAACATAGTATTGCAGGCTATTAAATACAAAACTTTTGCTCTCACATCTGTACTAGTATATAGGCCGTATCCAATCGTCGTATTTTATTCAGTCTTTGAGAGTTTAACTTAATTAAGCATCACTTATTTGAAAAGATCATGTCACTGAATTCTGGACAATTTCAGATATTCTAGAGCATAACTAAAGTCCGTTTTCAACCATTCTGCTTATCTCTGTATGAGAGTTTCTCGCAAATTTGAAAAATCACCGAAGTCATCTTACTCTACTTAAAACTTGTGCTCCTTTTAATAAAGTTTCACGATATCCTCGACTAAAAGGACGCAGAATACTTTCCAAGCAGAATTCATAATTCTGTACATTTATCTAGAATTTCATTTTAACTTGTATATCATTCTTTTTTTTTAAGTTGCATTGTAACATGGAATTATATAAACAATAAGATAATTCTGTTCTACATAAATCAATCATATGTCTACAGAATCCTAAATTCAACTTTTCAAGTATTTTACAATTACCTGTGCACTCACACTCTATTTTCGTTCTCGTTGAGAATAGTTCAACAAAAATAAGTTATCTGTTTAGGCTATTACGGGTGTGTTTTTCAGTGTTTGGTATAGGTATGCACGGAGTTAAAAGCGGTGTTTACTAGCTGCTGTAACAATAGAAAACAAGGCATTACACATTTTAATTATTGTCAGTTGTGTTCTCCAATACTTACTCTACAAATGGATGCACTTCTCAAATTCAATAACTGTTCTCTCGAGACTTTATACATACAAAACAAGTCTCCGTCAGTGTTAACTGTGCCTTTTCAAGTTCACAGTCTCCAAGAAACAACAATTGAATTTCAGGGATACGCCAGTCAGTAGAGTAAATATCGAAGAACACATATCACAATCAATAAAACGTCTAGTTCTTAGTTTAGTTTATTAGCACAACATCTAATAGACTCCGATACAAGTCCGATTTTGACTCCGCACAGCCCTCTACTCTTTGATAGAAAATCACCTCAAGACAAAAAATAAAGGACGCAAGTGGATAAGACTAAATACGGGCAGGCGAAGGATAAACAAAACAAAAGCAACAATAACGAGGCTTAGTTCTTGTTGGCAAAATCCTCATTATGCTACTATACTCTTGTGCTATTTTACTAGTCACAGTTTTTTCTAAAAGAAGTAGTCGTCAGTGCTACGTCTGAACCAGTGTCAGTTTTTTAATGTTGGCTGTCGTAGTGGCGGTCTCTATCATCAGCGTGATGACTACAATTTGTTACGTTTAAGAATAATGCTTCTAAAAGAGACAACTGAGCGAATCTCCAAAGAAGTGTTATTTATTCATTGACATGGTAGATTTTTGATAGATGAACCCTCAAACTTTTAAACCTAGTTAATAGAACAAATCATCGGTTTGAAAACTGCGAAAAAGTACAACACATTATCTAGCATATTACTCACCGGCTGTTGTTGTTGTTGCTGATGTTGTTGATGTTGTTGTTGATGATGATGTTGTTGTTGATGTTGAGGATGAAGTAGTAGTAGTTGTTGTAGTTGTTGATGTTGTTGACGATGTGGATGATGATGTTGTTGTTGATGTTGTTGATGTTGATGACGATGTTGTTGTTGATGTTGATGATGAGG